TTATGTTTAGCTAAAACGTGCTGATAAAATTAAACTGTTTCTTCTACTTTAGCCTTCTTTAGGCTTGGAAATAACTGGTCAGCATCTTCCTCAGATTCTTTAGTATGTGGACACTGTGCTAATGTCACTGCAGGGACAGGGCCTGTTTGGAGAACTCTCGGCCTGCAGCCAGCATCCTGCCTCATTGCGGTCACAACTGTTCTTGATGAATTGCCATTATAAGTTACGTCCGATTGGGCTTCATTATTTATGGCCATAACCGGAGGCTTTGTCCCAGTTATTAGGTGGCTTGTTTACTCACTAATCTGAGTGCTGCTGTGTAAACAGCTCTGACCTTTTTATAATTTGAGCCGAAGTGTCAACCACCTAGCATTTTGTTCTCAAGGAAAACATGTTGAAAGTCACCACGTGTGTGGAGATTTGTTAACTATTGGACAAAATCCAAAATAGGGTGCCTGCTGTCCAAGAACATGGTCTAGGAAACTCTCTCTTTGTTTTGTGTTCAGTCCTTTGAAAAAAGACTTGCCTATAAAGTAAACTGGGTGGATGTGCATCTGGGATGGTAGGTGGTAGAGAGCAGCTCTGTTCTCTGGAAAACTGAGTTACGTGCAGTGACCCACGTCCAGCCACTCAACTGTGCCACTGTGTAGGCACTGGACCGACCTGTGTTTCAGGGTATGTCCTGGGTGACCGTGTTGAAGGGACCTTGACAGGCTGGACTGTGTCGAAGGATTGAACAGATGGGATTTGGGCAGGTGGAGGTTGGAGAGGCCTATTGGCCCAAGGCGGGTGTCCTGTCAAGCAGAACCGTTGATGAGAGGACCGGCTGCCCCGTGACGAGTGAGCTGTGGGGTTCTCTAGCTGCAGTTCAGTGACACCTCAGATTAACGTGAAAGTAGAGGTCGATTTCCACAAACTCCAGGCCTCCTTACCCTGTTTTCCTCGTAACGACTTTCTGGTCGAGGTGCAGCTTCCACAGTGAAGTAAGTGCACACCTTCCCAGAGCAGTGAGTGGATTTGCAACTGTGCCCACACTGGTTCCACCACCCAGGTTGGGGTGCACGGGCTCCCTGCTGACCCATCAGGTATGATACCCCGGAAGTCGCCACTGTTTCTGTCTCTGCTACCACAGAACGGTTTTACCAGACCTTGAGTTTCATATAAATGTCATCAGAGCATGTGCTCTGTGAACTGTCCGTGTTGCTGCCTGTCAGTAACACCTTATGTCAGGCCGTTTTTATTTATTTATTCATTTTTTGTTAATCTTCACCTGAGGATATTTTTTCCATTGATTTTTTTTTTTTTTAAATATATCTTTATTGACTTCAGAGGGAGGAAGGGAGAGGGAGAGGGAGGGATAGAAACATCAATGATGAGAGAGTCATTGATCGCTGCAGCCCACAACCCGGGCATGTGCCCTGACCGGGAATCGAACCCCGATCGCCTGGATCCCAGGTCGACGCTCAGCCGCTGAGCCATGCCCGGCCGGGCTCCATTGATTTTTTTTTAGAGAGAGCAGAAGGGAAGGGGGGCAGAGAGAAACATCGATCGGCTGTCTGCCGTACGCATCCCACCCAGGGATGGAATCCGCAGCCTGGGTATGTGCACTGATCAGAATTGAACCGGCGACCTCTCAGTGCTCGGAATGACACTCAACCAACTGCGCCACACCAGCCAGGGCTAATTTTTTATTTTAAAAAATGTGTAGACTTAAAAAATAGGTTAGTACATGCTCATGATACAAAATATAGGACATGCAGTCACAGGGTTCAGGTCTCTGAATCAGCTGCATTCCAGGCCCTGTCTCCCTCGGAGCCTCTGCACTTCCCACAGGCACTTCGACACCTCTGCCTGTGTTTCTATCCCCCACTCGGAGGTTAAAGTCAGGGCCGGGTTAGCGATAACTGATGGTTGGGGTTAGGGGTACGTGTGGGCACTGCTCTGCACCCTGCTGTTTTTCTCCTTAGTCACGGAGCAGCCTTGGCCTCACCGCTGTTCGTGGCATTGGGTGTGGCGCCTTCGTTACCTGGTGGGCTCAGGGTGTGTTTGATCGCTTGCCCTTGGAGGCATTACTGGAACAGGTCTCACTTATGGGCATGGTTTCCCACCTGTGAGGTCCTTGTCAGAGGCGGGGCTTCTAGGAGAATGGTGAGGCCCTGGACACTTAGGTAGTTCCAGCCCGGCCTCCACCGGGTTTGCTCCTGCCAGCCCTGTGGGCAAGCGAGCGCACTTCCCACACCACCCAGCACATGGGTCCAGATGAGTTCTGCCAGCCTGATGGACACAACCTGGAATCCAGCTTCGATTGATTTTCTTTTCTCGGGAGGGCAGGGAGCCCGTTTGTGTGTAAACATCAGTTAGGTTTCTGTTTTTGTGAGCAGCCTGTTCTTTTGCCCATTTTTCTGTTCAGCTCTAATCTTGTTACTGATTTTTGAAGTTTGCTGTGTTTTAAGGAAATGAGCCTTTGTCTGGAGTAGGAGCCATACATGTTTTTTCCTATTTGTCTTTGAAAAAGTCTTTTGAGTTCCCCGAGCTGCTTTCTTGGCAGACGTTCTTGATGTTCGAGTTTTCCAGTCTCTCAGGCCTCCTGTTATGGCCCTGGTTTCTGGAGTGTGGTGAGAACAGCCTCCCCACCCAGGGCATGAAACAGAGTTATCTCGCTGGACCGTTTGGGGGAATGGATGTGTTTGTGTCTAGATGTTTTGCTCATCTTGAAACTGTGATGTAAGGTCAGGCTACAGCCTTACTATCTCTAGGTGGGCACCCAATAGTATTCCTTGAACAAATCTGTTTCTCCCACTGATTGACTTGTACCAGACTCTCCAGTATCTTACATATTTGGATGTATTTCTTCGCCTTCTGATCTCTTCCGATGATTTGTCTTTGTAGACGTGCCTAGTATCAAGCATCCTAATTATGATTTTCAACCATGAAATGTCTGATAAGGCCAGTCCTCCCCTACTTTTCTTTTTTCAGAATTTTCTTGGACATTTTTGCATTTTTAAAAAAAAGTATATCAACTGTAGAATCAGCCTGTCAGGTTCCCCAAAGAGTCCTGTCGATACTCTTATTAAGACAGTAGATTGTTTGAAGCCTGGCATCTCTGTGGGGAGGGGTTTGGGGTGATCCTGGGGAGCCCCACACCCCTCCTCCAGTCCTGCAGCGACACAGTCAGCTCTGTCAGCAGGGGGAAGAGAGGAGGGACTGCATGGCTGCCCCGGTGACAGGGTAAAGGCATGGTGAGGACATGTGGCTCCGAGAGAACTTTCCAGGGTGGCCTCACAGCCCAGGGTTGTTGAGGTTTAGCAGGGGCTGGGTGCAGCGAACACCACGATCTCCGTGGTTTCTGACCACTCGCCTCCCCCGCAGGGGTCTTAGACGCTAGGTGTGGTGCATTGTCCTTGATGGCACGGAGACTGCATGGAATGTGACCACCCCTCTTCCCGTCACCCAGCACATCATAGGGGCTCCCATGTGACACCTGTAAGAGGTGACATTAGAGGATCCTGAACCCAGAAGATTTGCTCTTTGGTCTTTGTGTTGTATTTTCCATATGAGGTCACCTCGCAGCTCAGCTTGTTCCCCTGAGGTGCTCACTGTGCTGTGTCTCTCTGCGTCTTTGTTCCAACGGACGCAGGCGTCAGTCCTTCAAATGAGAGTTCTCATTTCAGGAGCATAAGCACTTCTTGGGCACAGACAGAAAGCTGGGTGGTTAACCCCAAAGGAGCGTAATGTCCTTGGGAACAACACACACTTGCATACAGTATTTTTTAATTGCAAAACTGACATGCCTGTTGGAGAAAACGCAGACATTACAGAAGTTCATAGATAAGGTGAAAGGGAAAGCCCCTGACCAATGCCCACCTCGGCCGTGGTCACCTGTGAGGATGCCGGGTCCAGCCTTCCAGACGTGTTCCTGTAGTATGCAGACGGGGGTGTTCTCTGAACGGAATCGTATTATTTATGCCGTGTCGACAGGGAGACCCTTTTCTTGACTAAACTGTAGTCTTGGACTTTGTTCCGTGACGGCACAGGCAGGGGTCTGTGTTCATTTTAAGGGCTGCAGCATTTTCCACTGTGGTTGCACTGTTGTGACTCGTCACTGAGTCTGTCCTTGCACGTTTAGGTCTGTACAGCCGCGTGAGAATATCTGTAGGAGAAAGTTCTAAAAGCGGATTGCAGAGGCAAAGGTATTGTGGACACTTCAGATTTTAAGGTGTTTTCAGACGAGCCCGGAAGGTGCTGTGAACTGTGAGCCCGCAGTGCAGCAGTGGCCATCTCCCCGCCGTTTTACTTCATTTGTGGTTGGAGGGCCGAGTGCCGTCTCCTCACCCGACTCCCAGGAGCCGCATGAGAGAAACTATCATTTTATTTTCGGTGTGATTGTGGAGTGTAACTTTGTTCAGTGTCTTTCCATTCAGGGGTGTTTCATTTTTATTTAATCAAATTTATCAGCCTTGCTTTGTGCTGTGCTTAGGAAGACTTTACTTACCCCAGGATTATAGAGATATCCCCCTTGGTTTTGTTCTGGTCTTTACTCCACTGGAATTCAGGGCTCACTGCCCACCTCATTTGAGAATGGCCCCTGTTCTCCTCACGAGCGCGAAATGCCGACAAATAATGACGTACTCACTGGGATCTTGTGCAAACATGGACTCTGAGACCCACCTTTCTAGTAAATATCAGAATTTGATAAAATGTTTACCTAGACTAAAAATGGCTTCTATAGCCCTGAGTTACAAAGAAATATGACTAAGACACAGAGAATGTAAAACTGAAGGAACTTTTTAGCTTTATTTGATGTCCATTTCTGAGCACGAAGAGCCCCAGGCTCATTTTATTTGCTTTGTGACAGATCGTAAGTCTTGGAAGGAACGTGAAACGAGAAATTAACTGGAATAAAGTCTGCGAGCAGGGAGTCGCCTTATGCGGCACAGTGCTCGTAAACCTTTGTTGTGTAGTTGTATAATCCTCCGGTCTTTCTCACCTGTCTCCCGCAGCCCAAGTGTGACGGCCAGGTTTTGCTGACACACGTGTGGAGGCGTTTGAACCTGATAGAATGCGACTACTTTGGGCTGGAGTTTCAGAACGTCCCGTCCTGCTGGGTAGGTGCTTCTCATGCGTTTGGAAGAGGCTCTGGTGTGTTGGAGAATCGTCCTGACACCCATGGGTCACCAGGAGCCTCTGAGGATGACTAGGTATTTCTTGTTTGTAGCATACTTAGTGTATAGAGAAAGTGTTTAACGGGTTTGCTCTTTTCTTAAACCCTCTTTAGGTTTGGCTTGAACCTATGAAACCCATCAGTAGGCAAGTACGAAGTAAGTCCTTTCCTTAACCCCTTAAACTTCTGTCCGCTCAGGGTGCTCTGTGTTCTCGACTGTTCAAGTCGGAGGCCTGATCAGATGCTCCCTGACTACCTTGGGCAGCTGTGCAGGGAGCACTGGCGGCAGGGGGAGCTGGAGGCCACGGTGCCTTTTAGAGCAGTCGGGGTGGGCAGCGCTTTCACGCCGGTTCTAGGGTACTTGCCTTCCATTTGGAAGCAGTGTGCAAAAGTAAGTATGCAGTTTCCTAAGTTACGAAACTGAGTTACGGAGAGAGAAACGTCGACGAGAGTCACCATTTGGCTGCCTCCTGCACATCCCCTGCTGGGGATCAAGCCTACAGCCTAGGCATGCGCCCCGACGGGGAATCGAACCGGCAACCTCCTGGTTCATGGGCCGTCGCTCAACCACTGAGCCACTCCAGCTGGGCTAACTGGTATTCTTAATAAACTAGTTAATACTGTTTTGTAATTATAAATATAATTGTAATTGTAAACATAATTATTTTTGTTAGCCTCTGTATCAGATTTCGACAATGTAAGGTATGTGGTGATGCCTCTTGTCCTCAGGTGATCGCACAGGATGGGTTCACCTGGAGCTGCCTTAGGACTGAGCTGAGGAGGAAGGGCTGTGGGGAGTAACCAACCCTGTTACTCGCTGATGAGCTGAGGCCTCTCCTTTGCCCGTAGCATCTTAGCAAAAGAGCTCCTCTTTCCTTTTTGATGAAACTCACATGGCCGTGTTGTTACAACATTTCAATAAAGCTGAGATCCCTAGATGAGCTGATGTCTTCAGCTTTTTCTTTCCAGTGCTCAGGTTGCTCCAGTTCAGTGCAGAGTGACAGCATTCACAAGGAATTAGAAAATGATTTATTATGACTACTTAATTGTGTAAACATCTTAACTTTTTAACATACAAATATATTTTAAAATGTTAATGTGCAATTCGCTGCATGTTTTTAGGGTTTCCCTGAGTAATCTCCGTTTAACACACAAGTTCTACATTTTTCTTTGATACTCGTGACTGGTACTTGGGACTCGTAATTTCACACACAGGAGATTCCTTGGAAAGGTTTGCTCTGACAGTCCACTTGAAATCCTAGCTCGGTTACATCGTAATTCATGGAAGGACAACAGATACGATAGAGCCTGGCCTCATCTGTGATGTTTAAACTTTTCCACAGGGCCGAAGAGCGCAGTGCTTCGCCTGGCTGTGAAGTTTTTCCCGCCCGACCCAGGTCAGCTGCAGGAGGAATACACGCGGTGAGAACCCTGCCCTGCACGCGCACGGCCATCAGGGCCCGCGCTCACCTGTGCCTCCCACTGCCCGGTCATTAGGTGCTTGGGGCACGTTTGCTCAAAGAACGAACGACCCAGGATTCTCGTAAAGGTTGTGTCCCGTGTGTGGCAGCGAGCACAGGCGTCGACACTTAACCCTTACACAGGCCCAGTGGGACTTGGGAGAAAGGGGTGTGGGCAAATTTCAGAATAAAAAGTGGGGTGTTAGGGTAAATGAGCATACATTTGTACAAGTGCATAAAGTTCTTAGGGATTTTGCCCGTATATTTACTTTTTAGCAACAAAACACGCTCATCAGAAGTGCCAGGCGCGCGAGCCCCCGCGCGGGTGCGGCAGGCACTGGGGTGACCTCCCCGCTGCTCCGAAGTCACATGGACTCTGCAAAATAGTGGAAAGAAACATGTAACAGTTGTTTCTTCGGGGCAGTAGGACTATGGAGGTTCCAATTTATGATCAGGATAAAGCAACAGCGTAAAAACTGTTCAGCTCGTGGAGGCAGTGAACCGAGGGCGGGGCCGCGGGGGGCGCCGGGCGCCGCAGGGGCTTCGCACCGCTCTTGCCTTCCTGCACCATCAGAAACTGTCGCTGTCCCTATGGAAATGTCGAGACCTCTTACTGGTTCACCTCTCGCTGTAGGAGCTGAGGAAATGGCCCCAAGGATGGCAGAGCTTTTGTTCTGTTTTTTAACCTCACCAGAGGATATTTTTTTACTGCTTTTCAAAGAGAGAGAGAGACATGGACGTGAGAGAGACATCCATGGGCTGCCTCCCGCTTGCGCCCCGTCTGGGACCAGGGGACCGAGCCTGCAACCCAGGTGCGTGCCCTTGGCCTGAATTGAACCAGAGCCCTTCAGTCCTTGGGCTGACTCCCTAACCACTGAACCGAACCGGCCAGGGCAGGAAGGCAGAGTTTTTATGGTGAACACAATGTATGTCAATGGCATTTTAAGTACCTGACACCCAGAAAATCCCTTTTAAAAAGGGATTAGCTTCTAAATTTATTTATACCTGGAGAGAGACGAGTAACAGGAAGTGTCACCTAACCCAGCGTCCTGGGCCCAAGCCATGTTCATGCCGAAGGTCCTTATTTTATTCATAAAAAAGTGCTCTTTTGAAACAACAGAAGAAAACCGTTGACGTGAAGCTGTGTCAAGTAACAGTAGCCCCTCATCCCTGCACCACAATCTGCCCAGAGCACTGACCAGGGCGTGTTCCAGGTGAGTTCCCAGCAGTGCACAGCAGACCCGGGGCAGCGGCAGACTGTGCCCACGGAACTCGGTGGGCTATTGTTGCCTCCCGACCACAGCCTCATGGGCATCTTTCCCTGTCGGTGTGTATGTGGCTGCAGCCCAGTTTATTTAACCGTTCTCTCATAAGGTGGGGCATACTTAGGCTATTTCCAGTTTCTGTCATAACGCTGCAAATAAACATCCTTGTCTGCATATCTTTGTGCTCTCCTGCGACAGACATGAGGAGTGTGCTTTGGAACCTTGGAGCTGATCTCGCTGACGTCTCCCTTGCAGGTACCTGTTTGCCTTGCAACTTAAGAGAGATCTGCTGGAAGAGCGCCTGACCTGCACAGACACCACCGCGGCCCTCCTCGCGTCCCACCTTCTGCAGTGTGAGTATCTGCCACGTGGCAGGAGGCGGGGTCGCAGGTCACACTCCTGCGGGGCTTGTGAGCAGACAGAGAACGGGCCTTTCGGTTCCCACGTTCCATAATAAACTAACTTCTGCCATAGAACTCAACGTAGACAGTCGCTCCTCACCCCAGGGAACAGGCTCAAGGACACAGTCCCACATGCATTCTTTCTAGTTGTCCCTCATTTGTGCCTCCCACATTTTACCAAAAACCTCTTCAGTCTAGAAGCCAGACAGTAACCTGGACTCGGCACCCCAAGAAAGAGCCCTCCTTGGGGTGAAGGTCACAGCTCCCCTGGTGATGAGTTAGGCATGAAGCCCTGAAGGAAAGAGAACAGGTTTCCTCAGTGTCTTGCGCAGAGCAAGAGGAGGTTCCGCAGTATGTGCAGAACTAGTCACCTCAAAACAGGCAGAGGAAGGTAAGGAGAGGTTCTGGCGAACAGGTGTGGGCTCTCCCAGGGCTTTTCCAGGCTCCTCGTGGGACAGGAGGAGGGAAATGCCCACGGAGGCCAAGTCCCATCTTCCTGGCAGAGCTGGTGTTTCTGAAAGCTGAACGCAGGAAGGATGCTGTAGAAAGTTGCAGAAGTTTTAGAAATTAGTGAGTCTGTGGGTTAGTTTGTAATTTACTTGGTTCTTCCCCGGTATACCTTCAAATAGTGAAATTTTTTTTTTTTAATTTTCACCTAAGGATATTTTTAGTTACTTTAGAGAGAGAGAAAGGGAGAGAAACACCAATGTGGGAGAGAAACATCAATCGGTTGCCTCCCATACATGCCCCAACCGGGAATTGAACCCGCACGCTTTTGGTGTCTGGGATGACGCTCCGACCAACTGAGCCACCAGGCCAGGGCAAAGAGCAGATTTTACCAGTGGTTCTCCTGAGCAATGGGGCTTGTTGATTTGCATTAACATAGGCTTTCAAAGTGACTTAGTTGTGGGGTTTTTTTTGGCCTGAAGTCTTCTCAGGCAGACAGATGGCTTCAGTGCAAACTTGCGTGGCCACTTGCTTGAGGGCTGTGGGGACAGCTCAGAGATGTCAGAATAACTTGTCATACTGTGATTTTCACTTAGAAGTGTGCTGCTGAGAGTGAAAGCCTCCTGCAGTGCATGGTTCTGAACTGGGCCTTTACCCATTAGACACAGTCGGTAGCTGGTAAAGCGTGAACGGGGCCAAGCTCAGCCCCACAGCAGGTCCCGGTCCCGTCCTGACGTGGGTGCTGCGTGGGGTTGTGGGTGAGAATGTCGGGTTTGTAGAAAATCCGTTCTAAAGGGTAATCTACGCATGCAATTCTCCTGTGAATCTGAAATGGTCTTGAAACAGAAAAAGAAGCATATTCCTTAAAATTATCAGATTTTAACTACTATTTTTAAAACATCTATAGCTTGAAAATACATGAGTTTAGAAAGAAACTTCTGAAAGAATTTGAGAGGCCCTGAAGGAAAAAACGATTTAAAATACATTATCTTGAAACAAGTAAAATACCTTATCCTGGTCATAGTGGTCTTGAGACAGCTTCCGGGTGGAGTGTGGTGTAAACTTAACACACGCCGAGCTGCGGCCTAGCGTTTGCCTCCCTGACCACTCACTGCATCTTCAAAACGCAGAAAACTCTCCTCACCTGTCTTTATATTTGCATTTTAGCATAAAACATTTGGAAAAATAGACTACAAATCTCGTTCATTGATACTGTTCTTTCATATAAACTCTTTTTACTACAGATTTAGGATAACTTTTTCTACTTTTAGCTTAAGCCTTGTACACCCAAATGCATAAATAAAAGTAGAGAGAGTTATCCTAAATCTGTAGTAAAATAATAGAGCTTATATTTTTCTTTATTTGAAAAGTAAAATTGCTGCCCGGCCAGTGTGGCTCAGAGGCAGAGCATCGACCTAGGATCCAGGAGGTCAGGGTTCGATTCCCGGTCAGGGCACATGCCCAGGTTGTAGGCTCGATCTCCAGTGGGGGGTGGTGTAGGAGGCAGCCGATCAGCGACTCTCTCTCATCATCTCTTCTCTCTGAAATCAATAAAGACATATTAAAAAAAAAAAAAAAAAAATTACTGTCCATTATTATCTCAGCGGAAATAGGGGATTACGATGAAACCCTGGATCGCGAGCACCTCAAAGTCAACAAGTACCTGCCCCACCAGGAGCGCTCTCTGGAGAAGATCCTGGAATTCCATCGGAAGCACATGTGAGTCTGTCAGAATCAGCCACTGTCCTGCTGTCATTACGGATGTGACTAAATAGTGCATCAGGGAGCCTGCGCTGAGGCTCTGACTGAAGCCAGGACCCACCACAGCTCCCTGGGGTGCAGTCACCACACTGCAAAGTAGGCCAATTTAGAAAAGGCTGGAGAGGACATGAGGGCCCAGGACACTCGAGGCCAGAGCACCAGTGGCCGGCATGGCTTTCCTATTCGTTGGTGGTAAAGGCGGCCCTGCAGTGAGCTCAGGGGTGCTGAGGTGCTGGGTTCTCCATACTGGTCCCTGGCAAATTTTCTGGACTGAAGTGAGGGCACCTGGAGGGAGCAGAGCTGGGATGCGGGGATGGGCAGAGAAGGCAGAGCCAGGCAGCAACTGGCCGAGGTGGAGGTGCCCATGACACCAGCCTCCTGTACCCATTAGTTTACTTTGCTGCCCTGGTGGCTTCTGTGACGTGTGGGTTCTCAAACCCAGGCTGGTCTCAGTGCTGAGATCCTGCTGTCTTATCCCAGGGGCCAGACGCCAGCTGAGTCGGATTTCCAGGTGCTTGAGGTTGCCCGGAAGTTGGAAATGTATGGCATCAGGTTTCACAGGGCTTCCGACAGGGAGGGCGCCAAGATTAACCTGGCCGTGTCTCACATGGGAGTCCTCGTGTTCCAGGTAGGGGCAGGGATGTCTCCGTGCGGTGGGGGCGAGGGGTTTACATACGTTGGTTTTTTTTTTACGTTGGTAAATTTTGTTCTGATGAGTAAGGTTTGGCCTTGGAGGGGGCGCTGAGCATGTCATCCCATCTGACCTCTCACTCATCCAGCAGGGAAGTTGTCTGGTCCTCGACCTCCCTGTCTCAGAGCCCACTCCCCTCGGGGCATCCAGTCCGTCCCACTGTTCCTTCTAATGTTAGCAAAGGCCAGCCCTTAGAACTACCCAGAGCTGGCCCTTCCCTGAGCAGCCTCCAGGCCTTGGGTGCAGGCCTCTGGGTGGACACAGTCATCATTTAAGTTAATGAGATGGAACACCCTAGAAGACACTGGGAGGTGCACATGGGGTAGCAGGAGGGTCTTACAGCATTTTTGCATCCCTTGTGTTTGCATAAACAGTTACGTAAATGACCACTGAATTCTGTTTGCAGGTAAGTTAATGTGTCCTGGGGTCTGTGGTGTCCTGGGTCTGATAGCTACACACAGGCCCCTCAAGGGTCAGAGACAGTGGTTGGGCTTCCCATCCTGTCCACCGAGGTGACTGTCCACCTCTGGCAGAGGTCCCCTCTTGGGAGCTCTCTGGTCACTGGCCCTTGCACAGCTGTGCACCTCTGGTAGAGTGAGTGACCCCAAGGCCATTCGCCCTGCATGGTGGCGGTTGGCAATCTCGTTCTGGGAACCTGACTCTCGGCTCTTTCCTCTGGGGGCCTCTCAGCCTGTGGTCGCTGCAGCGACTGGTCTGTCTGGGCTTCTGCTCAGGCTGGCTTTCTTTCTCTTTACCTAGCGTCAATTTCAGTGTCCTGTCAGAAAAAAAAAAGTAATTTTGAATTTAGAATGTTAATTGTGTTACATCCTGGGCTAGATGTGACAAGAACAATAAAATTCGCCCCAGAGACTCTAGCTGCCACACCCTGCATGTGGGGGGTCCAGGCGCCACACCGGCTCCCTCTGGTCACTGTCCCTTCACTGCACAGGTTCTCATCGCATGTCCATCCAAGTCCGGCTGTTGTCGCTTTTTACCATCGTAACCAGGGGAAGTCGGAAGGGCAGGGAGTGGAGACTCCAGAGTCGAGAGGGCGGATTGAATTTATTTCTGCCCCCTCAGACACCCTCCCCCAGAATGACAGTGAAGGAATTTTTTCTTCTTTTTAAGTTTAAATCAGTAAGAAAAATTTAGAAAAGGGAATCCAGAAGATGAGGTGTATCAGCAAAATTTTGGAAGTTGGGAAATGGGTAGATTGTGGAGAAGACTGGAATCCAGTGGCCTGCAGGGGAAAAGCTGGGAGCAGACCAGCATGTGCAGGAGTGGACACCGGGTGTCCTGTCCCTTGTCTGGTTCCCCAGACCAGCACCCAGGGGTGATGCTGAGCCTGTGTTCTCCGCATGCTCACAGCTCCAGCCCTCAGTGGCCCGCTTCCAAACACGGCGGGCAGCCGCGTGGCCTTGCTCTTGGAGGACGAGAGACTCGGAAGCAGAAGCAGTGCCAGGAGTGGAAAAAAGAAAAAACAATAAAAACAAACCCTGCACCATCATCCTCAGAGGACGCGGTTGCATCGCCTGTCGGGTCAGCAGACAGAAGCTTGGTGCTGTGTCTGCTCATGAGGACCTGGTAGCGGCTTCATCCCGCACGTAAAACTCCCCTCTCTTCATTCTTTGTTCTGGCCTCGTTTGCACTAGGGAAGTGCTGGGACCTGGGCAGCTGTACGAAGATGCGGAAGCTCTGTCCTGACTCAGGACACGACTGTCAAGACGGATCGTTACGCAAAGACTCAAAACCGTGTGTGCTGTTTGCTTGTGGGGAAAAGAAAGGGAATTATCCACACACACTATTTCTCACAGAGCAAGCAGGTGGCCCTGGTCGCCTCTAGGCAGGCGCGGCAGCTGGCAGGCCTCTCGGTACCTTTGGAATTCAAACGTTGTTAACGTAAAGCCAGAAAGCCGCACAGTAAACTAGAGGCAGGAGCCAGACAACGCAGGGGAAGTGGTTGGGCTTTACGAGAGGAAAACCCAGAACCTGAGGCATGAACTTCAGGCTGAAAGTGCCTTCGCCACTGTTTATCCTGAGCAGAGGGAACTGGGAAGGCCAGCGGGCGGCTGACACAGCTCCTCTGTGTTGCTGCTGTTTTGTGTTTGGGTGGTTTTATTTCCTTTTTGAGACCATCTTTGAAAATTGTCCAATATGTTACCTCGAATAGGAATTAGAGTAGTTTAGTGTCCAGGCCATGTTTTGGGGGCTGGGAAGCTTCCGGTCTCATTTGGACCCCGGCGTGTATGTCTTGGCTTTGAGGATATCTCCTAAATCGGGCATCTTGCTGAGATGTAATCCACATGCCGTAAAATTCACCACTTTAAAGTGTACACCCCTACCTGATTCCAGATGTTTAGTCACCCCACAGCCGCGGCAGCAGCCCCTCGCAGCCACTGTAGCCCCAGCCACCTCTGACCGGCATCTGTCTGCGTCTCCTCTGGTCAGTTCACAGAACGGGACTGTGCGGTGTTTGGCCACGTGTCCCGGCCTCTCCCTTGTCCTCACAGTCGGTCCGCGTTGTGCCGCGGATCAGGGCTGCCTCCCTTTCCTGGCTGAGGTTTTTTTCAGTCCCTCTGAAAACACTCCTTGTCTTACTGTCCCCCACCTCAGATTTGCAGGGAAGAATAAATTTTAGGCCATGATGGTCAAGAGTAGAAAATGACAGGAGAGTATTTTAATACATTTAAATTTTTTATGTTGAAACAATTCCAAGCTTACGGAAAAGTTACAAATGCGGTAAGGAGAGCCCCTTCCCCCTCACCCACCCAGATTTCACCAGTCGCCCAGTCACTGTGTCTCCCTAGTCTCCAGTCGAGGACTGTCTTCCTCTCCCCACGATTCTCATTGACCCTGAGGTTTCAGAGATTCTAGGCTGGTCATTTTGTAGAATGACCACAATATGGGCATGCCCAGTACTTGCTGGTGGTCAGCCAAGGTTCAGCTTCTTGGGCAAGAAGTCACAGAGGGCAGGATGTGCCTGGCACAGCCTGCGATGTGGCCCATGGCGTCCACTTGTCCCATCGCATGGAATCAGCATCGATCTCTTGGTCCGATGGTGTCCCCAGGCTTCTCTGCTGAACGTCACTGTCCATCCTTTGTAATGAGTCAGCATCTTGTGGGGGACACTGAGCCCTCCTCCCTCTGCCTCCCCTTTGGAGTCTGGTGGCTGCCGAATGACAGCCCTGAATTCCCTTTTCTGTGCTCCCG